ATGTGTACAAATAACAGTCTGCATGAACATATATGTAAATAGCTTTTGACTTTTGCCCGCTGTGTTAGTTCTCTATTGCTGCAGAACAAGTTACTACAAACTTAGCATCTTAAAATGACACACATTTATTATCTCATAGTTTCTGTGGGTCAAGAGTCTGAGCACAGGTTGACTGGGTTCTCCGCTTTGTGGTCTCACAGGACTACAGTCAGTTTGTTGGCTGAGGATGTTGTCTAATCCGAGGCTTGACTTGGGCAGGATCTGCTTTTGTTGGCAGAATTCAGTGCCTTGAGTTGTAAGACTGAAGGCTTCAGTTTCTAACCAGCTGTTAGCCAGAGATCTCTCCATATGCCAGCTCTCAGTATGGCAGGTTGCTGCATCAAAGCCAGCAAGGAAGAGAGTCTCCTCAACAGACAAGCATTACAATTGCATATAACTTAGAGGCTACAACATGGCAATTTGATTTTTCAAAGCCACAACAGACACTAGCAAGATGGGCACCGTAATCTTTCATCACATTGTCCTCTGCATCTCTTCTATCATGAAGAGAAAACCACACAAAGAACACGGAGAAGCAAGAGGTCAAAGAATTTACACTAAAAGTCTATCATGCCCACTTAGAGCAAAATAATGATTCTCATAATTTGAAATATGAGCTAGATTAGCTTCATTCCGAGTTTCATTTGACTCTGACACTAAATTCCCTTTATTATTTGTTGATCCTGGAAAATGATCAAACCCTAAAATTCTACAGAAAAATCAGAAAGGACCATTTTCAAGAAATTTCAGCTGTCTGAAGAAGTATCTTCACTTAACGTTTGCCTTTTCAGTAGGTACCGCCAGCTTCCCTTGAGGAGATAGACTCACATTTGCCTAAGCCAGTATTTAATACAATTAGTACCAAATCTTTATCCAAATTCTAGGCAAAAGGCTGGGAATTCTTGGCCATACAAGCCAAGATATAAAATATATTTTTTAAAACATTCATGTTGGTACTTTCTTATTTATCTGGTAAGTATCAGACTTGGAGCCAAGGAATCTATTTTGTAACTAAACAGTATTCTTGCATATGAAGGTCAACAAAAGAAAAACTTTTGCTTCTCTCAAGAGTTGTGTCAGAGTTAACAAAAGCAAATTATGGTAAAAATCATCAAGATGATATTCTGAAGCTAGTCTAGGCTGTTGCAAAGTTAGTGTCCCAATACCTGACTTCCTTATCCTATGCATGTGTCTGGGAATAAGATGCCACCTCATTGCTGCTCACACTTCTACACTGGCCTTTCCTGCTCCCTGTGAATGAGGGAATTCAAGATCATTGACAAGCCCAGGGCCATTTGACAGGGTTTCCCAGAGGTCTAGAGTAACGAGAAGCTAGATGCCCTCTGCTTCAACAAAGTCAATTTGCATCTGTGTTTAATTTTTATATAGAGCAGTATTCATTTTATATAGAGCAGAACACTCTACTATAGTTATCCATTACAATGCAATAAAATAAGCAAATACTAATAACATGAAAAAGTTTCTGCTAAATTCTCATTTTTAAAATGATAGCCATAAAACTATGATATTAGAAGTCACAATAGGGGTCACCAGTGGCTTTCCAATAACTAGAAGGAAGCAAGAGGGGCCTTTGGGGGGTGTTGCTCTTTTTCTTGATCTAGATGCTGATTATATGGCTTTGTTCAGTTTGTGAAAAACTTTCAAGCTGTGCTCTTACAGTATGCCCAGATATAATGTAAAATTTTTGAAATAGAGTCACATTGTTGCCTAGTTTTGTTGCTATGAAATGAATTTGTCATGTTTTTGAGTTTTTAAATTAGGTACAACTTGATTTAAGTTCATACTTCATCCCAAACTTATTAAGCAGGTTATAATGTGGCTGAAACTGCCTCATTTTGAAATTTATTTTGAATTACTTTTCATTCTGCTTGGTGAATTAGATGCTATTAGGTTACAAAGATTTTAACACATACAGAAAAGCCGTCCCCAACTCACCATTGATTAAATATTTAATTTTTAAAATTTTCTTAAGGTATTTTAGGCTAATAATGAAAAATATAAAAAAATAAAAGAAAATAAAAAGAAAAAGAAAAATATAAAACTAGGGGACTGAAATTGGTAAGAGTAGGACCAAGAATGCAGAAGGAGGAAACCTTTAAAAGAGTAAGGCAATGGGAAAAGAAGGGTATACAGTTTCCTCCTAAATTGGAGAAAAGTTAAGATTGCACACAAATGAGGATGGTACTGATTTTTTTCCAGGGAATAATGAAACAAGATTCTGTACTAGAATATAATGTTGGGTTAGGGCTAGTAGTTCAAGGACAAGGGAAATGGGAAATAGCATTGATAAGGTAAACGTGGCTGAAAGTCAAGGGAACTGAGGATACTAGTGAGAGTGTGGTTTAAAAAGTCAATAAAAGGGTTCCCACAGTTTAGGGAGATAAGCAAAGGTAGGAAATAACTGATAAACTTTGAGAACAAAGACTGGAGGTCATGCTGAGGACAAACTGTAGACTCAATAGCAGTGAGCCAGTAAGAGGATACAAGAGTAGGTGGCAGTGGGTAGAGAGAAACTTACAATAGAAAAATTTGCAGGTGTTGTAATTTCATCTGATGACTGGATTCAAGGAGTGACTACATCTGTGGATTTTGATATAGATGAAAAAGAGATGATTGGAAAAGAGAACGATGAGAAACTGGGAGGTCAGGGTTCTAAGTGAGTCATTATCATGGATGCTAGAATCATTGGGCTGGGACGGGACATGCAGATAGTTCCAAGGCTGACACAGAGTTTCAGAAGCACATTGGGCACAGGCAAGGAAGTAAATGGCTATCTTGGTCACAGCCAACTATATGAAAATACAAGCAGGCAAAATTTGTCTTTGGCATATATTACCTTTGTTGTGTAGCATTTTTTTTCTAGTTTTGTTCACCTACTCTCGACTAACCTCATTATCCTCATGTTGCTCTCACTGTACACTTCCTCTGCTTTTGACATATGTGAAATCCCAAATGATCCTAAGGCATACATGGAGAGTTCTTGATGGCTATGTCACTTTTTCCACTTATTGTTGCATTTTGACAGAGTTTTCTCCTGACAAATCCTTAACCAAAAAGTGGTCATTTCAGGGCCAATACCCTAAAGAGGTGTCTGCAAAGTCATGGAATTCCAGCCCGGGAAGGGAAGGAGGCTCTTCCTGTTTTGAAAAATCTTTCTCCAATATTGATCTATTCTTTTAGCCCAGGACTTCAACCATCTCCATAAAATGTGAGTTTCTGAGACGTTAGGGCTGGTTTAAGCCAATACAGAGATACCCACGAAAGGACTGACTCAGTCTTTTGCTCTTGACCAGTGCTCAAGGCAGACTAGTGTGCTATGAGATATTGATTCCTTCCATCTTTATTCCCTGTACCAGTGAAATATCATCATTTTCAATATATGCTTCAACGCAAAAGGTTTGGGAAGCACCGACATAGCAGACATTCAAAAGCAGTTGGCATATATTGAGCACCTACTGTATACCAAACACTTCATGTCTGGTATATAATACTTAACCTTTGCAGCAATCCTATTAGGTCGGTACCATTATTCTGATTTTGCAGATAAAGAAAATGAGATAACTTGCCAACCAACTGTCACAGACACAGGAAATGGCAGCAACAGGATGCCAACTCAGGTGATTTGGAACCAGAAAGTACACTTAACCACTATCCATTGCCTCTAAATAAATGTTTGCTAGCTCTAAATAAACATTTTAATTTAAATTTTTTCTACGTTTGTTTTCAGCACCCCTATAAATGGCAGGACTAGGATACAATTCCATCATACCCTGTAGGTTAGCTGTAGCCTGACAGGGAGGAGCGAGAGCTGAACACGGTGGAGCTTTGCTTCTCTTACAGCACCGTCGCCGCGTTTGCTTGGGAGTCCCTTAGCCCTAGATCTGCTTTTCCGTGTCTCTTCAAAATTATCTGATCAACAACTAAGATATTGTAATTTGTCCTGTGTTTTATTCTCTCGCACCTGAATCCTCAATATAATGACAAACTCTGTAATTTTTCATTTAGGGGTATAATGTGTTCCAAGTCTGTTAAACCCTTGTTGCCCTCCTACCGCCTGGCCTGCCGTTCTTCCACAAAAAGGCCCTGGCCTCCGGGTGTTTCTTGACACGCGCACGCGCACGCGCACACGCACGCGGCTTATCTTACAAGTTTCTCCATGCCCTCGGTAGGGGAGTAAAAAAAAAAAAAAAAAAAAAAAATCACGGCGAGCCTGAAGGTCCATTTCTCAGGCGGGGGAGGCATGTAACGAAATTAGTTTTTGCTAGGTATTTTTTTTTAATCACAGCTTGAGAGGTACAAACCGCAAGGAAGAACTGAACTAGTTTCTTGGCAGGTCACGCCAGCTCTGGGGGGGTTCACCGATCAATCGCAGCCAAACTTGGAAATACATATCGTGGCAAGGTTCGTTTATGGAAGACTCGCACCGAGGCCGCCGCCGCCACGGTCTGCGGTCACCTCGTGTCGAGTCACGACCATCGAGTCCTTCACTTTCCCTGAGAAACTCCCACGCCTGCCCTGTCCCCAGGGGAGCCGGCGGTCCCTCGGGGAAGGCCGCGAGGGCAGGCCCGGGGCACCACAGCGAGACGGGACGGCGGCGGGCGTAGGAAGCACCGAGCTTCAGTTCACGAGCCTGTTATTCCACGGAAAAATGGAACATTCCGCTCCTTCCGCCCGCAGAGGAGAGGCGGGGGGAACCCTTCGATCCGGTCTAGGAAAGGCGACGCGGGCGCAGCCGCCGGAATCCCGGACGCCAGGAGCCGCGTTACGGGAATCGCAGCTGCCCGGAGTCCCGCCCCTTCGCCGTCGGGCGGCCTCCCGACCAATGCCCGGGCGCGCCGGGTCTCGCCGGAGCCAATCAGCATACAGCCCCTAAATCCGGAGGCGGGGCGCGGCGAGGGCGCTGCGAGGCGGGGTCAGGGGGCGCAGCGCCCCGCGGTGGGAGGAGGGCCGCGTGCTGCGTCTGCGGGAGGGAACCGGGAGCGAGCCGGAGCAGGAGCTCAGAGCTGAGAGGCCGGCGGAGCCGCGAGGGGAACGCCCGGGCGCAGCTGAGCTGGAGGCCGCGACTGTGCGGCCGACCGGCCCGGCCTGGCGCCGGGGGAGTCCTGCGTTGTACGGATGCGGTTGAGTGAAGCGCCGAGGCCTGAGGTGAGGAGGTGTCGCGACCGAGTGAAGGGCCGCGTAGCGCGAGGACGAGGGCTAGGTCGGGGCGTTCGGGCCTGGGGGCCGGGCCCTCCAGGCGGCCGCCCTGCCCCGGGAGAGGGGCGCCCCAGCGCCGCGCGTCCCCAGCTTGCTAGTTCCAGCCTGGAAACCCCCCGCATTCCTCCTTCCATTCCGTGTTCACACAGCCCGGAATCTGATTCCCACAACTTTGTCACCTATATTTCTCCGGTACGCGCGCGCGCGCACACACGCCCACCCACACACACACACCACACACACACACACACACACACCCTTCTTAGGCCCACGCCCCCCAGTCCCCACTTTTCGCTCCTTTCCGTCTCCCCTTCAATTCCGCCGGCCCCGCACTTGACTCTTCACTTTCTACCTGGAAGTTAGCAGCTCCTCAGCAAAGCCATCTTTCCATCCTGAAATCATAATGTCTCAACCCTGTTGAAAGTTCACCTTAATTAAAACATTTTCAACTAACAGCCTCTTCTTTCTTCTTTTTCTCTCTCACATGTATCCGTCCTTAAAGAATCCCACCTTAACGCTGTATCTGAAAAGTACCAAATCCATCTTTAAAACTTAACCCCTCCCCCAAGCTTAAAGGTTATTCCAAGCGGCAAGGTTTTGTTTTTCAGTAGATGAACAGCATTTTATTCATAACTCCAAATGAAAAAAATATCAGTTCAGAAATAAGACTTGCCACTTGGAGGTTGTTGGGGTTTTGTCGTGTCCCCCCCCCCCCCTTCAGAACACCCATTTTCGGCTTGATTTGTGTAGTCCTGGGCATTTCAGCAGTTACACTAAGCTTTAAAATAATTAGTGATTAGAATGCCAGGGTGACTCTTATAAAAGATTGGAGTCTTTGGTTAAGTCGGAGCTGTAAACAAACCCTTTAGACCGTGTGACTGCCAGCTTCAAGTTGGAACAACTCTTAATTTGAAATTCCTGACTCAGATCATCCTAGGAGCTGTTCGCCATTATCTTAATTTCTTAAATTCATGGTAATTCCCATTTTGAAGTATTTTTGAACTGTAAATGGAACTCTACGTTTATAAAGCCAACTGGATACTAAGTTAAATCCTGTTTTCCAGTTATTTCTTTCGGGGGATAGTTTTTGAACACTTGTTTTTAATTACAAGTGGAAGAAGAAAGTTACAGGATGGAGAAAGTGTGAGAAAAGGGGAGTAAGTTTCATGGTGGAATTTTCCCCTCTTTTCAAGTCTGTATAATTGACAGTGCTACAACATGTTTAGTTTTCTCATAGGTAATTTGGAATATTCTAAATACTGCGGACATATTTTCTTATGTAATGAAAAATGTGCACAGTGTCCTCATTTTTATTTATGACTTGCAGTGTTTTCAGTTTATTTATAGGTTTTCCCAAGGGCATTTGCACTGCAGTTAAATGTTAGGGTGAATGTCGATTATTATATACCTTTGAAGTAAAATGTCTCAGTATCTACTTTACAGAGAAGGAAACTGAGGCTCAGGGTCCTTTTGAAACGTAGATCTGTGTAATTGCAACCCCTGTACTCTCACTTGGTCGTTCTGTTATACTGACACACTTCTCATGGAGGATCCACTACTACAGTTTAGTTTGGCCACTTATGGACTCCCCATAACTGCTCTGCAGGGAGGGCTTTTTTCCTCCACAGAAGCTATTTTAGAGCTTCTCATTTTAACAGGAGTCAGGACTCCCTGGCTCTAATGTATTTGCAGCTTGGCTTCTAGAGAAGTGTGGAATGTTCTCACAGTCTTCTCCATTTCTTGATTGCAAAGGCTGTATGATCAGATTTGAAGTTTCTACTCTGTTATTTTACATAATAAATAGTAACCACTTACTGCTGGCTACAGGAATTCACAAATATGCATGAGATATTGTTAGGACATGTATAGAGTTTATAGAAATTGGGCTGACAAATGTATGAAAATTGCAAGGATGCAAGGCAGCTTTAATTAAGTGTAGAATGATGCAGAAACTGCTGTAGATATCTAAATTAGGAGTGATAAAATATAAATTAGGAGTGATTATTTAAGAGTTGGAATAATCAAAGGATTGAGCAGAGGTCAGACCTGAAACCTTTGTGAGACCTGGATAAAGAGAAAAATGAAAGAAGCCCATTCCAAATAGAGGTCTATGTAGAAAGAGTCAGGAAAAAAAAAAGTATATTAATTACAATAGCCAGTACAAAAATAATGCTTATTTGTGCCAGTCACTGTTCTGAGCACTTTGCCTGTATTAATTCTTTTAATCCTCATAACCTTAGGAGGTAAATGTTACCATCTTCCTTTTACAAAGAAGGAAACCAAAGCAAAGAGAGGTTAATTTGTCTAGTGCCATGCTGAATAAGGGGTAGATCTAGAATTCATACATAGATAGCCTGGCTTCAGAATCTGAGCTTTTAACTGTGATGCATATATTCCCTCTTCATATAGTATATTTGAAAGGCAGTGACTAAAATAATATGGCCATACCAGGAGGTCTTTTAAAACCCACTCTTAATTGCCCTCATCATGCCTCAAAGTATCTTGGATTCTGAGGATATCGAGACATAGAAACAGTTACATTACAGGGCTTAAACTCCTATTATGGAATTGTACGCAAGTGCATTGGGAGCAAAGATGTTTGTGGGAATGGTGGGGGGGGATTTCCGTAGGAGACATGATGTTTCATCTGAGTTACACACGGGGCAAAGCAGAGTCTGGGGAAAGACATTGTAGAGTTAGGGGATGGCATATGTAGAAGTACAAACTTTTTTTTTTTTAAGTTTTTTTTTTAATTTTTTTTAATTTATTTATGATAGTCACACAGAAAGAGAGAGAGAGAGGCAGAGACACAGGCAGAGGGAGAAGCAGGCTCCATGCACCGGGAGCCTGACGTGGGATTCGATCCCGGGTCTCCAGGATCGCGCCCTAGGCCAAAGGCAGGAGCTAAACCGCTGCGCCACCCAGGGATCCCCAGAAGTACAAACTCTTAAATAACAAAATGTGTTAGAGAAAGTCTGGTAGTTTGCTGTGTCTTGAGCTTGGTCTGTGGGAGTGAGCTTAGTCTGTAGGAGTAGGAAATGATAAAAAGTAGACCAAAATATGAATGGCGTGATGAGGTCAAAGAAAAATGAAAGCTTAGATATTTGCTTTGCATTTGGGAAACTGCATTAATAATTTCAACAGATTGTTCGCTATTCTCTTTAGATGTACAGCTACAAGTGGTAGCTTGAGGGAACAGTTTGAGTAGAGAGCTTTTTAGAGTCGTCTTTAGTATTTGTTTGTTTGTTGTAAGTAATCTCTACACCCAACGTGGGCCTTGAACTCAAAACTCTTAGATCAAGAGTTACTTGCTTTACCAGCTGAGCCAGCCAGGCTCCTCTAGAATAGATTTTAAATACTGGAAAAGATATGTTGGACAGGCACATGAAGCCAAATTTTTAGGTTCTTAAATAGCTAAAATATTTGGCATTGTTATTGCCCCTTGGAAAAACTTTTGAGCTTAAGAGTGACAAGTTTAAGGTAGTGTTTTAGGTATATTCATTCACCTATAATGTCAGAATGATTTGGAGGATGGAAAGAGACTGGAAGCAGGAAGGCAGATAAGTATTAAGATGATCAGTGCCTAAATCACATTTGTCATGGTAGAGGGTAGAAAAGAAGAGACAAATGGGAAAGACAGCATAAAAGAAGATTGGATAAGCTAGAATTTAATGGATCCCATTGACTTTAGCAATTCAAAAAAGGTGGTCTTAGATGGGGGAAAGATAAGTACTGTGACTTTTTTTTAGAAGCGCATGCAGTTACATATATATATATATATATATACATGTGTGTATTGTTTTTAGACCTTTCTATTTGAGTTAGAGGCAGAATATCCAAGACAATGATACGTAACTGGAATCAAAAGAAAGGTCCCAACCAGAGTTCTTGAAATTATTTTGTTTGAAATAGTGATAGTTAAAGTCATATGTCTTCAAAGAAGTTGTTATTTTTTAAAAAAAAATTTTTAAAGTTTTTAAAAAACAGTAGGTTCCAAATACTCAGGTACATTCATAGCCGAGAGGTAAAACCTAGCAGAGAATTCAGTGAAGAAGACAATAAAGTAGGTAAAAGAATTCAACCACATGAAACCATTACATAGAAACCAGAAGAGAAAATTCAAGAAGCAAACATGGTCAACAATGTTTCAGAAACATTTGTGATATTGTTACAATGGCTACAGTCTCTTTTTCTGTGTCTGTTTAGTATAGCTCAGTGAGATTTAATGAGATACTAGTTAGCTAATGGATCATGACTAAGAGAGCTCTAAGTGTTGAAATGTGGCTGTAGCGTAGATTATTATTTTAAAGCTGTCTGTATACATATCCAGAGCCGGAGTTTTATTCTTTTCAGCACAATAAATCTGTTGCCCTCTTAAAATTTAGATGTTCTGCCTCCAGACTTTCTTTTTCTCTTTACTCAAACTAATCAGTTTCATCCTGTGCTCTGAGGCATTTGTATTGGTTGTCTACACAACCTGTTTTTGTTTGGATGTTCTGTTGTATGTATGCCCTCACCTCCATTCCCTAACACAAAGTAAACTCATCAGAGCTGTGTTTCAGAGAGCACAGCTCTGGTTTATACACTGGCATGTGCTGGGATTTTGCCATTGATAATCTTCATTTGGCATTTAGAGTCAAAGATAACATATAGCTCAGGTGTATGCTATTTTCTCTCTTTAGAAAAAAAATCTTTTTTTTTTTTCTTTAGAAAAAATCTTTATGTGTATTTTCATTTCTGGGCCTTCCTGGGCCCTTTGGGAATTGGGCTATTCTCCAAGCCTCTGTAGCATTCTGTGCATATTCTACCTTTCTGAACTTTGAACTTCTTAAGAGCAAGATGTGTTTATTTGGCTCCAACTGTGTTTGTTATATTTTATTTAAGCTGTACTGAGAATGTGGGTGGTCATCAGAAATACTCCTTAAACCTTTTTCATAGGTCTAAAACAG